AGGAAGTCCAGATGGCATGTTCTGTACCTTTGAGCTATTGCAAATTTTTTCCCTTTTTAAAGGAGACCAATTATGTTTTTACCAGTGTTTTATAAACCACACGTACAAAGTGAGTCTTTATTTAGAAAAGAGCCTTTCTGGACCACAAGACAGAATCAGAAGGTGGGGTGTGATAGCTGAGTCAGTGTATTTAATATTTTTTACGCCATTTGTCTTTCCTAGGGAATGTGACCAAGTGATTCTATACATTTTTATTAGCTGAGTTATGCTGTTGAACCAAACATTCAAACTGCATATTTTAAAGGGTTATTATAAAAACTGTGGTCCTCTGAAGATGGGTGTTATTGGACTAACAGTGAAATAGTAATCTAATGTTACTTCATCAGTGCACACCCATTAATGTGAACATTTTCACTGTTGTTTTTCAGAAGAGAAAATACTTGGGGTAAGAGGCAGAAATGGATCCATTTCCTCAAGTTCACTTGAACAAGAAAAAAAGAAACTTCTGAAGCGTGTAGTTTTCAACATTGGGAAAGGGGTTTACCTCTCAGTTGAAATGACTCAGTTGATAATGCCCTTCAAGCTTGAATGCTGCATGTAAATGAAATTTTGGAAGAGCTGTAGTTTAAGCTTCACTTGCAAGTTATGTTAACCTTTAATTTAATTTCTCCATCTTTACCCAAGGCTGGCAGTACACTTGCAGATCTCTGCTTGATTGAAGCATGACCGATTTCTGCTCTGTGAATAAGATGGGGAGAGAATCATAAGCTCACAGCTGCCTGTGAAAATCAACTCCCTCCTTAAATTAATTTGATAATAGCATTTTCCAAGATTTATCTCTATGATTCCTTAACGTAATATTGTCTATACATAGGATTGCTTCAGCCTGCACTTCTTTTTCCTCTAATTTCTCAAATTCATGAACATTTTCTATGAGTCTCCTGACTTTATGATGTTTTATAAGTGCACAGAACTGGAAGTTTGTCTCACCTGGGTGTGTGACTGAATCTTACCCAAACATAAGTGTCTGTTTAGTCTGATTGTGTAGATTCATGGAGATGCTGTCAGCTGTGTGTAGACTGTAATGTCATTGGCAAAAAGAGGGGGTTTACTTAAAATGAGACAGATTGCAACTGGGTACCATTTCATGGGATCAGAGCCAGGGAAACTTTCCTTGCCTTTCCTAACAATCCTAATGACCCTTTCAGAAACAGCGCACAGACACGGGTCTTTCTAAGTGTCTGGATCAAAAGCTGCAGAGAACTGGAGTAGGCTACAAAAGCCAAGCTGCTCTGATGTTCTCATGATGTTCTCAGTTCCCCTGTTGCAACCAGTAGCTGTCATTCCCACCTGCTCTAGTCTGAATTTTTTTTGAGGATGGATGACCTGGGTTGAACATAATATTGCAGAAAAAGTCACACCATTGGAAACATCTTTTATTCTTTTTTTCTTTGGTCTGTCACATGACTGATTCATAACATCCTATGATTGACTTGTGGATCTGGATTGTCATCCATTTTAATAATTTCCAACCTGATGAACCCTTTGCTTTTAAAGAAAAATACCTAATTGTCAGTCACTGGTATCAAGACTTTGCATCTGCTTCTATCCAGTTTCAGCATATTTCCACTGTTGTAGCTTTCAAAACAACTTTATGTGATACTGTAGTCCTCTCTATCACTGATGCTTCTTCTTGCTCTTAGCAGATTTCCCTTGCATTTGGGCTTTCTTTTTTCTAATATAAAAAGTCACTGGTTAAAGTGATAAACAAGACAATTTTCAAGATACTTGCAATTTCTAAAGAAGTTTTACTGAAACATTTGGATCAAAGGAATGCAGAGCTATGGTAAAGGGAGAACAATTTCAACAATTACATAGTGGCTGTGACTTTCATGAGAACAGATTAAATTTCAAATTTATCATCATTGTCTACAGAACGTGTAGTATTCCTTGAGTTCTGAATCTCAAGGAGAACTCCTTTCATTCCTAGGGACAAAAGCTTTTCTGCTCAAAAACCAAAGTACTAATCAAACTGCCTCAGCCATCAGTGATCAGCTATGCAAGACAGTCAGGAAGCTAGGACTCAGCTTTTTTCACAAAAAATCAAATGTCTTTCAGATGTTTCATTATCACTAAGGTGTGTGTGATAGAGCCACACACCAGTTTATTTCTGACAGTGTACAGGTAATGCAGTGTTGTAGGTGAAGGGGTTCTGACTGCTGTACATTGCTGTTCTTATCTCCTGAAGAGCAAGTTTGAGTAAACATTACCATCCACAATTCTGTAGCATTCTCTACACGTCTGAGGACTCCAGGCTTCCATTACACAGGATGATCAATGTATTTAAAATTTCTATTAGCTATTGCTTACATCTGCTGGTGCTACAAAGCTTGTTTCTTTTGTTTGAATCTGGACCCCAGAAATTAGAAAGAATTTCAGTTCTTCTGAATGTCTTTCTATTCTGACTGTGCTTACAGCACCTGTGTTCAGTCTGTTTTGGACAGAATGGTGTGTACCTGGAAATGATAATCACATGTTAACAGGAGGTTTTTACTTTTCCTTTTTTTTTTTCCATTTTTTTTTTCTTTTTTTAAAATTTTTTACTTTTATGCATGCCTTGATACTACAAACCATAGTATGGTCCCAGTTAAAGCACTAAAGCAAGTTATGTGTTCATCACAGGAGGGTTTGATTCCAACACATTGCAGGGAAAGATATCTTTGTCCTGTTTTTGTTGGTGATGTTGAAATCAAGCATGGTTTGATTTCTTCCCACTTTTACATGGCAGTTAACATCATGATAACAGCAGAATTTTAGGGAAGATGAGATTATTTTTTGCAATAATGAAAATCATGTCAGCTGAGAGTTGTATTGAAAGTAACACATATTTAATTTTCGAATGAAAATGCTATTGCTAAGACTTCAATATTTATTTTAATAAAAATCTTTAAAAGTACAGGCTCCAATAAACTTTCAGAAATCTGTTTTTTCTCTCACGTGTCATCATTCCTCCTGGCCTCACTTTTGAGAAGCTTTGAAAGTCAGAGCTTCTGAAATTGTGTGAAAGCAACGGTTTTCTTCAGCACCAGCTTGTCAGTATGATTAACTCAGAAGAGTAGATTTCTGTAATCATGTAACTCTTCTCGCTATGGGTAATTTGTGTTATTTTCCAACATGAGTAATAAAACAATTTTTCCTCTCCTTCTCTTTCTGTTTTCAGATACAGCTATGGGATACTGCAGGCCAGGAGCGCTTCAGGAAGAGCATGGTGCAGCACTACTACAGGAATGTCCATGCTGTGGTGTTTGTGTATGATATGACAAACATTGCCAGTTTCCACAGCCTGCCATCCTGGATAGAGGAATGCAAACAGCACCTTCTTGCCAATGATATACCACGGATTCTGGTTGGAAATAAATGTGACCTGAGAAGTGCTATTCAGGTGCCCACGGACCTGGCCCAGAAGTTCGCTGACACTCACAGCATGCCATTGTTTGAAACCTCTGCCAAGAACCCCAATGACAATGACCATGTGGAGGCCATATTCATGACACTGGCTCACAAGCTTAAAAGTCACAAGCCGTTAATGCTTAGTCAACCCCCAGATCACAATGAAATACATATAAAGCCTGAACCAAAACCTATCGCATCCTGCTGGTGTTAGGTAACATTGTCACCGGCTATCACCTTGCTTTGTTTGCAAGTGCTTCAAAATTTTGATCTTTGGCAAAGTTAACAGGTTTTGGTAGCAACTACAGCAAATGTCTTTGGCACTTTAATGTGTTTTTTATTTTAATTTTTCCTGGTGTGGATGTGCCCATCTCTTATGCTCTTGCACTTTGTAATTGTACTTTCTAAATTACTAAGCTTTCACTATAAATATATGGGAGCATACTCACTTTGTAAAGTTTTGACAAAGCAATCCTAGTTGAGCTCTAGTGCACCAGTTTACTTTTGGTTGCTACTTGTGTTGGAATAATGTAGGAGAAAGAGCCTTTTGTGACAACCAGGGAACTTGGGTTTTGGGTCAGCAAGTGGGGAGATTTTTGGCATATGAAGGAATATTAGGTGGCTGGTAGGAAATTAGAAAGCAGGTACCTTTTCATTATAAAAGCAAAAGAAACAGGTCTGTCAGTTTGGGCTGCCAGTGTCGGTGCAAATTGCTAGGTTTTGGCCTGTCATTCCACTATGAACTTGGTCTGTTTTTTCATGGCAGTGGTAATGGAGACTAGGGAGAATAACTTCTCCCTACCTCTAGACAGTTATTTGATACTT